GAGCAAATCCAGTGCGCTCGTGGATCTGGTGGGCCCAATGATCTGCAACGTGGTGGTCCATGATAAAGGAACTCTTACTAACACTGACTAGCTGGCCAGATGTCTCACTGTAGTGGTCCAAGAGACTCATGAGAGCGACAAGCCCATTACCATTTGCACGAGTGAAAATGATAATGTCATCCGCGTAAGAAAGGTGGGAAATGGGAGGCCCACAGCCACGCGTGCTGTAGGTCATCCTCGAAAAATTGCAAATGAAGCCGTCGAGGCAGCGAGAGAGGTAGTCGGCCACAAGAACAAACAAGGAAGGGGATAAGGGGTCCCCTTGGCGAAGGCCTCGGGTAGAAGGGAAAAAGGTCGTAGGGTTACCATTAATGAAAACGGAGAATGTGCAGTGCTCCACACACGCCTCCACAAAGTTAATCCAACGGTTAGGGAAATCCATCCGAAACAGTACCTCTCTGAGAAACGACCACTGGACCTTATCATATGCTTTGGCCATGTCTAGCTTCAGCACGAGGTTCGGGGTTCGTGTTCGATTCACATGAGAGATGTCGTGTATCATCTCCTGAGCCAAAAGGATATTATCACTAATGACTCGATCCTTGATGAATCCACTCTGGTTCTGAGAGACAAGGTGGGGGAGGAGAGGGGCGAGGCTTCTGTTTAGGATTCTAGAAATGATCTTGTTAGTCACGTTGCATAAGCTGATAGGTCTATAGTCAGACCAAGAACTAGGTCCCGATCTCTTCGGGATCAAAATGATGGAGGTTGCCGTGAAGGACTCTGGCATCTGGTGTCCAGAGAAAAAATCCCTCACAGGTTCCTCTACGTCAGTACCCACAATCTCCCAGCAAGACTGGAAGAAGAGGGACGAAAAACCATCCGGTCCAGAGACGTTGTTGGGATCTATCCCAAACACAGCCTCCCTGACTTCCTCCTTACTCGGGAGGTCACAGAGGTCAACAAGATCGACCGACTGTGGGATGGTCGGAAAGAGGGTTGGGTCGGGATGCGTAAGCAAATCCCGCTCAGAGGAAAAGAGAGTGTGGAAGTAAGCCCTAGCCGACTCCCGTATCTGGGACTCCTGGGTCGCGGAAGACCAGTTATCCTCGACACTATGGATATACGACTTGACTCACTTCTGCCTCACAAATCCCTGGAAGAACTTGGTATTACGCTCCCCCTCAGCCACCCAAAGCACAACAGCCTTCTGCTTCTAGAAATCTTCCTCCATGAGGAGGCGCAACTGGTACTCAGCATGGCAGCGGCACATCTCGGACCTATTCTCTGGCGAAGAATCCATATCATAGGTCCGTTCT